ATATTTGATCTATGGAATGTTTATAAAGCCCTTTATTTTCTAAGTAGAAATAATCAGCGTATTTGTTTTGGTAGTTCCGTAACATTTTTTCAATATCTTCAAAAACAAAAATAAAATGGGCCGATTTGGCTTCTTATGCGCCCCCCTCCTTTAGAAAAAATAATCAAAAGTTTCCTATGCACAAATCTTTAAATAAATATGAACTACTAAGATGTATCATAAGGGTAACCATACAATAGTACCAGCAGTCATAACAAATGTTATGCTAAAACGCGCAATATCAGCTCATAACGTCGTTATATCGCAATATAACAGACATAGCGGAGCGCTAAAAGGGGTCACAGTGCGATCGCAATAACGCCGTTATTCAATCGTTATAGACGACGTGGGGGGAATCCGTGCGTAAGGGCTTGGATCGCCATTTCTCTTTCTGCTTTGATGATCATGGTATACATGTTAGAAAAAGATATAAACATTAGGTGTGTGTAATCTCGAATTAAGTATTGATTCTTCGGTTACAACTAATACAAGTGCGTAGAGCTTTGTTCAAGGTAGTTTTATTTTACGAAAGAATGGGTTTACGACGTAAAGAATGTTTATATCTGTCCAGCCAATGAGAATACGAGTTTTTCTATGTAATACGTTCTAACAACACTCTTATCGTTGACTTGTTCTCCTCGGTAGTTGTTCTTTTACAAAACAAAAATAACTCAAAACTATGATTGAAAGTGGATAATTGAATTTTTTCAAATGCAATTGTATGTCAATAGAAATATTTTCATTCATGCGTTTTATTCATCGAGACTACACGAATAGCATGGTATATAGTTTTGCATTTCTCTGTCGTATATCATTATTTACGCTTAGGCATTATTCACTGCGATACAAATATTGAAATGAAAACAGCCAGTCTTCTCTTGGTAGTAATTGTTGGTGTTGCAGTCAACAGCGGACCCCATCGATGATATTTCATTCTTGAACGACAATGAGATGATCGTTGAGTTTGAACGACGATTCCTTTTGGGAATGTGCACGCCTTGTGGACTTCTTCGCATTCCGTGCTGCTTTCCAAAGCAATGTAGACCTACATTTTCAAAAGCTTCAGTCTAGCAATCGTGCAGCTAGTAAAATATGCCGTCGAATTAGAGTAAAACTTCATAGTCATAACTAATACGTATTTATCTGTAGTATTTAATAAAATGAATGTGGCATCTTGGTCGAAATGTGTCTAGGTAACCGATGAACGTAGAATCTACCTGTTCATTTTTTAATAGAGATTTTCAGCAGAACTTTTATGTTGATTCGTTCTAGTTCTTGCCAATTTTGTAATGAGATTCTGATAAGTATCAGAACAACAACCGATCACGCTTTCAAGTCATAGTAACCGTTTACTATCTTGCACGATTGAGTGTTTTCGATCAGCTGGATTTGCGTGTGCTGTGCACAAACGGCTCTTCAATTGAAAGCCGGAAATCAAGACAGCGTTGTTTCATTCTCATATTTTTTTTTCGTAATAATCGTTCAAGTCACTGAAAAGAAGCAACAAGTTTAAAGATCAGACAGAAGTCTATATCATTTATCACGAAACTGATACTAGTATAGCGACTGCAAGTATTAGAAAATGTGATTTCTTACTAGTTATTAATAATGAGAAGTACAGCAAGGTGTCGGATGTGAAATTTTCCATATCGGACCACAATACGAAGCGCCCTCTGTTGGTCATGTTCTAGATCAGATTATTTTTGCATCCAATGGTTATAAAGTTAGAAAACTTGTATTGAATTCGATGTGAGTTTTTTTTTTCATTTCTTATAAAGAATATCAATGACTGCATCAAATAAATTTATAAAACATTTTCGTGATTTACAAGCTGGTGAAAGTGAAAAGGCTGGAGCTGCTGAAACACTTGCTTATCTTAATGGTCAGTAATGAAAATATTGAAAATCATACTTAAGTTTATCTTTTACATTAGGCGAACTATCATTTCAAGAGTATGAAAAACGTGTACGCGAAGCAAATACTGATTATTCGAATGTATCTGTTGGTAAAGTTCTTGATACACGTGAAGCTGAAATCGTTGATATTGATGAATTAATTGATGAAATGAGCGATTTGGATGACTTGAGTGGACTTAGTAGTGCCAGTACCAGTGATAATTCCGATGAATCTCAACCGAATAATGAATCATTAAAAAGAAAAAAGAATGAGAGTGAATCTAAAGCAAAACGTCGTCAACGAAAAAAACAACAACAGAATTCCGATGAAAATTCTGATGATGACGAAGATGAATGTGAAGAGAAAGTAATGGATCCAAATGAAATGCGAAATCGAATGGTACAACATCTTGAACAAATGCGTTTAGCTAAACAAAAAAAGAAAAGTACAAAAGAAAATTTTTATTTTCGATTTTTACTCATTTGTTTTTGTATTTAGAACAAGCGAATAAATCAAAAAATCGTAAACGTTCTGCGCCATCAGTCTCGATCGTAAATTCTTTTGTTTTATTTAATTAAAGTTGAAGTTTTATTTTAGGCTGAGAAAGTACCTAAAAGTCGTCTCAATCAAGAATGTCAAGCATTGATGGGTGAAGCTAACATGGCTTATGCTCATGGTGATATTCAAAAAGCAATACGAATATGTCAAGAACTGATTACCAAAGGTAAACGATTTGTTTTTGTACAGGAAATGATAAATAATTATACGTTTTTTTTTGTTTTGTTAGTTCCAAATGCTGCTGAACCTTATTTGACCATTGCACGCATTTATGAAGATCAAAATGATCATAATAAAGCTTTTGAAGTAAATGAAGTATTTTATTCGAAAGCGATATTGTAATTTTTTGTTTTTAAAGATGAGTTTTGTTGCTGCACATTGCCAACGTTCAAAAGATTCATGGCTTCGAATGCTTGACGAATGTCAACAACGTAAAGCTGATGATCTCATAACGACCTGTTTCAATAATAGTAAGTATTTTTCGATAAAAATTGACGCCAAACATTATTCACCATCATAAACCATAGAATTGCTTGTGAAAAGTAACGCAGGATGTTCGTGAAAAAAACATTTCTTTGCTCGGAAAAATTGATTTTTACGAGCGACTTTTCGTCTGTTTATTTGTATATCAAAACAACGCTAACATAAAAATTAATCTCGGCATGCTCAGCAGCTTAGGAAGGTTCGCTGTTCCAAACTATACGCGTTTCAATTTTGCCCATATATCAAAACTAGAGTTGTACGAGATCATATTTTGTATTCTTTCTCTCTCGTTGTTGTACATGAAAATGTAGGCTTCTGTGTTATAGCACGATTGATCCTATGACACCTAAATACTTTCTCTAGAACATTAGAGAATTGTGCTGATTTTATTTTGTAGGACAATAATATTATTATGCTTATAAATACAGTGAAGAGAAAAAAGTCAATAGGTTAATGAATAAGATCATTTTCATAAATATGATCATCATACTGTGGTAATGCAATCCATTGAAGAGTTTCGCCACCGAAAATAAATGGCGATTTATATTCTATAGAATTTGAATTTTGTAATTGTTGACTTGTTTTATGCCGTGAAAAATTGAAATTTTTTATTATTTGTTTCAATGAAAAAAAACATGATGATGCCATTTGCGTGTCCATAATTTGTTCGTACTGTTTTTGAATTGATTCAACATTGTCGAAAATTTGTTGTAGAGTATAAGTTTTCTTCGTTTCCTTTTTGTACAAATAATCCGTTGAAAGAATCGGCGATGAAAGATCTTTCTTCGGAGTCGAGCTCATAAAATTTTTCATTGTAATCTGCACATTAATATCTATAGCAGTTGGATGCATATTGTCAATCGTTATGTGTATCATATTGGAAGGTGAACGAAGAAATGAATGAGTTGAAAATTAACCGTATCAAATTGAACGAGTGGAGAGAAAAACAAATTGTCGTCAGATGTCGACGAAGAAGAAGAGAACAGGTGTCATAACGAACACGTGTACCAGTTGGATACATTGCGTCTCATCCGGGTTCTCATAATAACACGTCGAAAAAAAAAGGGGAAATATTTGTTTAATGATTAGAGGAAAACAAAATTTATTTTGATTCCTAGACATGACATTTCACACATGATCATCACCCATTGACTCAATTATGTTGTGTGTTTGATCGTTTCACATGTTAATACGAAAATGCTGATAAATTATTCCTCAATTAGGTCTTCTTCTATTGGTTTGATATTTCCAAGCGATAACAAATCAGTGCACTCGCTTTCTTTGAACTGCGCTGCAATTACAGATGTGCGAGACCACTTTTTTTCGGTCTCTAGTTACAACTGATGATCTCGTAAGCCGATCGATTTTGTCATCTATGTAAAATATTTTTTTTTTAGTTGTTAAACTCGATCCTACTGATGTTAATATGCATCTGAAACGTATAGAACATGTGGAAAAAAATGGAACACGAAAACTCTATTTGAGCAGTTTACAAGCACTACTTGCCGCTTTACATCCAACAGAAAATCCAGAACAAAAACCAATATATTTAGAAAAATATCGAATTCTTATTCAAGTAAATATAAAATTATTTTATGAAAAAAAGAAAATTTTGTTTTTATAGGCGATTCTTGCGTCGGAACGAAAAGATAGTGAATTGCAAACGCTCTTCTACAAAGGTCTTCGAGATCTTGGAACAGATTTTCCTTCTGAATGTTAGGTTTGCTTGAAAATCAAGAGAACATTAGTGTAGAAAAATATAATCGTTTAGATATTGAACGTCTTTTACAAATGCAATACAATTCAAAATTATATCCAGAACTACTTAAAGTACGAAAGAAGAAGAATTCGCTAAATATTTTATNATCGATTTTGTCATCTATGTAAAATATTTTTTTTTTAGTTGTTAAACTCGATCCTACTGATGTTAATATGCATCTGAAACGTATAGAACATGTGGAAAAACATGGAACACGAAAACTCTATTTGAGCAGTTTACAAGCACTACTTGCCGCTTTACATCCAACAGAAAATCCAGAACAAAAACCAATATATTTAGAAAAATATCGAATTCTTATTCAGGTAAATATGAAATGTTTCTAAGAAAAAAGAAAATTTTGTTTTTATAGGCGATTCTTGCGTCGGAACGAAAAGATAGTGAACTACAAACACTCTTCTACAAAGGTCTTCGAGATCTTGGAACAGATTTTCCTTCTGAATGTTAGGTTTGATGGAAAATCATGAGAACATTAATATAGAAAAATATAATTGTTTAGATATTGAACGTCTTTTACAAATGCAATACAATTCAAAATTATATCCAGAACTACTTAAAGTACGAAAGAAGAAGAATTCGCTAAATATTTTATATAAGCATTATTTATTTTTTAGAATCTAATTAATTTTACCGGTGTTCGTTTATCGAAATTCAACACTGAATTAGAATTACCTATTGATACAACTGATTTAGATGATCTAAAAGATGCAGAGTAAGTTTAAAATTCCGAAGGCCTTCATCTTCTGTCATTTTTTCATCTGACGAAATTTCCCGGAGATTAATGACTTCACACAAAAATTTGTATAGAAATTGATTTTTTCGTATTTTTAGTTTTCTTTTACCAGAATTTTATCGAACTGATTATTACGGTATGTTTCTTGTTGCAATTATTGACGTTGGTTGTTCACCTGTAGCATTGGTAATTATTAATTTAGGCGAATATCTAGAAAATACAATTTACTATTGCTTTGAAACTTCTTTTTTTTGTAGCGTCTTTTACCTAATTATAAATCAAATGTACGTTCGACAGATCAATTGCTATGTCTCGACGTAATGTCTGCTCTTGCATTGAATGATCACCTTATTGAAGCTTGTCAACTATTTGAACATCTCTCATCGCTATCAAAATTATCAGCTCAATCATGGTTTCAATATTCGGAATGGTTAATAGCGTTATCGAAATTTCATGAAGCATATGAAGCTCTTGAACAAACATTAAGACTCGACTCACAATACAATGAAGCACGTTTATCGTTATCAGCATTACAAAAGCAAATTGGATTGAATGAACAAAGTCAACATACATTAGCTGAAGTTGTGAGTCGACCAATAAAAGAAGAATTAAATGACAAAAGTGATTTTCAAGATGAAAATGATGATGACGATGAACAACAAGAAGTAACTGTTGAAAAAATTCACTTATTAGTTGAACGTTGTATTACACTTTATGATCAAAATCAATTAACATTTTTTATCCCATGTGCAATGCAGCTGTTTTTTGGTTCAATAAAATATTTGCTAACAGTTGACTGTTCAAAACGTTTAATTAATTGTGGAACACGAGCACGTCGTCTTGAACTGATACAAAAATTAGTCGATGAAAAACGTATTATATTAAATCCATCCTATACGAGAATAAATACAGTATTAAAAAATCGTATTATTGATTTATATGGAAAATTTTGTGATGTGCTTATACATATTAAACGGCATGATCTTCTTTTGAGAGTTACTGCAGCTGGAACAGTTATTCCATTTCTTTATGCAAGAATTGATTGGTATGGTTTACATGTTTTCTATTTTCATTAGAAAAGAATTGAATGTTTCCCTGTTACGATGAATTTCAAAGAATCTAAAGTATTACAATTTAAGATTCAGTTTTCTTCGTTAACTATTTTTAGTGTTGTTTTCCGAAATAAACCGACATGCTTCTTTTTCTTTTTAGGCTTATTCTCACGGAATTTCTACTATTCATTAGTTTAATGTTACAACAAAATGGTGATCTTGCCTTTCAAACATGCCGAGAAATCTTTCGATGTTATTCAAAATCATCGGTTATACAAAATTTATTTGCATTAACAGCAACAATAACACCAAGTGTTCGTTTACAAAAATTTTGTGTACGTTCATTACAAAAACGACCAAATTCACCAATACTTCATCATATGGTGGGCAATTTTGCATTGATTGGTGGAACTTATCGTTTAGCAATTATTCATTATATGAAATTATTTCGTTTGACACCAGATGAACCACTTGTTTCATTATTACTTGCTATTTCATTTGTACATGTTGCTTGCCAAAAATATGCTTACTCTCGACATCAACGCGTTCTTCATGCGCTTGCTTTTCTTAAACAATATAGAAATTTACGTGGAGAATGTACGGAAACCTATTATAATATTGGTCGTTTGATGCATTTTCTTTCGCTGCATTATGCTGCTGCTTACTTCTATCACAAATGTTTAGAAACTGAAGCACCTATTGTTGATACTGATGATATATATGGATTAAAATATCAAGCAGCTTATAATCTTGCTTTAATTTATAAAGCAAGTAAAAATGAAAAATTTGCTCGACATATTATTCGAACGTATATGACTTTGTAATTTTTTAAAAACGAAAATTGTTTATTTTCAAATAAATATACATATGTACTTGAAATAATAAATCATGAATTCAAATCTAGATTAAAGCATTTTGATCTAGAATTATATTTGTTCTCATTATAAAGTGACTTAAACAACTTTTTTTTTACTAAAACAACACTTTGAATGACACACCAACGAAGAAAATAAAATTGTTTCTATGGAATAATGGTGACATATTTGACGGGGCGTGTGGGTGGGTGTATGGGTGCAGGAGAGTAGAAAACGAGCATAACCCACACCCACATCCTAATACAGCAGCTCATCAATGCTGCTGAATGACATCTACAGAATATTGAAACCCCATTGGTTTTTCAAAGAAATCGTTTGGTGGAGCCGTTAAAAATTTTCTTTTCTTGTTATTCTTGCACGTTCTGTTTCTGTTCCTCTAACTAAAAATGGCCGACGTTGTTATTGTGTCGAAGCGCCGAGCAGAACGCAAAATTTATTTTTTTATTTCTGCTTGTGTGTACATCCAATTTGTGTAAATCGAGCTCGAGCTGCATCTTCAGATTTTTTATATATTATTTCAACAAATACCGTATGAAACGGAATGCCACTTTTGCATAAGGTAATATTTGAATGCATAACTTTGGATACATAAATTTCAGCTCATTACTACAAGTAACGTTCATCGACAGCACAGCAAGTCGATTGTTCGTGTCTGAAACTGTTGATGAAATTTTCGACGAGATCATTCAATAAATTGAAGGGAGACCTGTAAAGGGGCAGAAATAAGTGAAACGGAGGTTAGATGAAAATGAAGACGAAAAACACACAGAAGGAGACTCACAGGTCCTTAAGACGGGGGTGAGGTTGAGTCTTACCTAGCCACAAAAATACATGGTTCAGAAAGTTCGCGATAGTTAGCTCAAAGTTCCGTAAGGAATTAGCTCGCCCCCTTCACTAGCTACATCATAATGGCGGACTATTCTACTTGACCCTATGCTGCATCTGCCAATGGTTTTGCTTCAACAATGGTCATTTGTGCCATAGAAATGGCCAATTGCACCAATATTACAGTCACGGAGGCTAACTAGTAGACAGATAGGCACAGGTGAATTAAAGTTTCTAGACCCTATCCTTGTAGTTTAGGGAATTGTCCGCTTCAAGATAAAAGATACCGTACAGTTTTTTGAATAACTCTTCACACAAATAAGATACAGAGCTACGGTCTTCCGCATTATAAAGAGCAGACTTGGAGCTATCAATATGTGCTCGAATAAAAAACGAAGCGGTTTTTAGAGATCTGATTTTTGAAACTATTTCAATTTTGAGGAGGACGCTTTCAGTAACCCACATATTTTGTATCAAATAAAACAAAGCCGACATTTCTATGACGTCCCATTGAAAAGCCGGAGCTCTATCAATGAAATCTTCAATTCGCTTGACTTTATAACGGCAGTTCTTTTAGTTACTATTGGAATGGTTAAATGACTTCAACATCTTCAACATAGGCGAAAACATACTTCTCAGAAACTTGGGTACATGCAGGCTACTGAAATAAAAATTTCATGTTGTAAACCAGTTGATAGAGCTCTAGCTTTTCAATGGAGGTCAAAGAAATGTCGACTTTCTTTTATTTGATACAAAATATGTGGGTTACTGAAAGCGTCCTCCACAAAAATGAAAAACTATGAAAAATAATAACTCTAGAAACCGCTCCGTTTTT